ATGTGTTATGGTATGCTGCGCTATGCTGCGCTATGCTGCGCTATGCTATGCAATGATATGTTATGCTGTGTTATGATGCGATATGATATGCTATGCTATGATATGCTGCGTTATGCGATGCTGTGATCGGCTATGATATGAGCTGCTAGGCTGCGCTATGGTATGCTATGCTATGCTGCGCTATGCTATGCAATGCTATGCTACGATGCACTATGTTATGCTATGCTATGCTATGCTGCGCTATGTTATGCTATGAGGTGCTATGCACTGGTATGACATGATTTGCTATGATCTGCTGCGCTGTGATATACTGAGTTAAGCTATGATATGCGATGATGCGCTATGCTATGCTGCGCTATGCTATGCTATGATATGTTATGATTTGCTATGATATGCTATGATATGCGATGCTATGCTATGCTAATGCTGCGCTGCGCTAAGCTAAGCTGAGCTAAGCTAAGCTGAGCTAGGCTAGGCTAAGCTAGGCTAAGCTAAGCTGAGCTAGGCGAGGCCAGGCTCAGCTAAGCTAAGCTAAGTTAAGCTAGGCTAAGCTAAGATGAGATAAGCAACGCCAAGCTACGGGGACGTAACTGGGGGAACCGCGGGGCGGATCCTGGGGGAACCGCCCGGGGCGGGACCCGCTGCCCGGCCATTTAAGCACACGGGGTAAGAACCCTTCTAGGCAGAGCCTAGGTAGGGAAAGAAAGAGAGCACGATTGACTAGGATAGCATGGCGACAAGAATAAACATAGTAGAATAGAACAGCAGAGTACATTAAAACCTGATTGAAGAGAGACGGATAAAACAGAAGAGATAATCTGAGAGGGGCATGATGTATTGGAAGACAATAACGACAAGGAGCATCAACATATACATATATATATAGATATATAATACAACATATAGAAACAACGCATTAAACCCGCATGGAATGTAATCGAACAAAGCAGAAGGAGATAATATGACAGGGGCAAGGAAACACAACAGTTTGGATACTGAAGTTTCTATGTATACATGTGTATATATATATGGATGTACATACATATATGTATATATGAGTATGTCTGTATGTATGTCTATATATATATATATATATATATATATATATATATATATTGGCATACGCACGTATATATACATAAAGATATAGACAGAGATGTTCCTCCTCGTCCGATGCGATTCCTATTGCAATCCGCAATGAGAAATTGAATATGTTCGGCTGTCCCAGGGGGCGGCCCATTCCAGGGCATCGCGCCCCGCGCCGCGGCGCGGCGATATCTTTGCACCCGGCACCGCCCACTTCAAAAAAAGGGCGGGGGGGGGCCCGCGCGCGGGCGCAGCGATCGTGAGATGCGAAATGCGACAGGAGAAGAATAAAGTCCTGCACGAATCTTACAGGGACCCGATGGAATCCTACACAAATCATATGGGGATCCTACGGAATCCGATGGGATCGATCCGATAAGAACCCTAAGGGACCCGATGGAATCCCATGCGACTCATATCAGAATCCAATGGCATCCTGTAGGAATCCTATAGGCACCCAAAAGGAATCTTGAGGAATCCGATGGGATCCTACAGGAATCCCAATGATTCCAAAGGAATCCCATCGGAATCCTAGAGGAAACCGATTGAATCCTCAAGGGATCCCACAATAGCATCAATTGCACCACCACCACCCGCGCCCCCCCCTGCCCGCCCCCCCCCCGCCCCCCGCGCCTTCCCAGGAAACGCGCTGCCCCCGCTCGCCGACCGCGAGTGCGAGGCCGCGTTCAGACAAGTCCCTGGCCTCAGCGGCCTGAGAAACTTCGCGAAACTCCCCGGCGCTGCCTGCCCTGCCCGCCCGGCGACCCCCATGCCGTCCACGACGAACCTCTCCCTCCTTGTCCTACGCGATTCCTAATGCAATCCGCAATGGGGAATTGATGTTTTTCTCGGGCTGCCCTAGCGGGCGGCCCGCCCCGGGGCGTCGCCCCCGCCCCGCGCCGCGGCGCCATCTTAGCGCCCGGCGGCGCCGAAAAAAATTAGCCCGCGCGCGGGCGCGGCGGTCGCGAAGGTTGGGGGGGCGTAGCGTCGAAGAAGGTAGAATAAGACAGAGTCATATCATTTTGGGATCGAATAGAACGCACTAGAGTTAAATGTTGTGCGTTTTTTTTGCATTTTACTGCATTGTCTCATTCTCTTCTCTTGCATTCTACTCTATTCGCCTGTGATATATCCCATGTTGCTCGATCATGTCCTTCATTTGCATGCGCCCCCTGCGGGGCCGAAGCCTCGGCGAAGCCACTGCGCAACTGAAGCCCTCGAGGGCCTGACAGGGGAAGCCATGGGGGGCCCTCTTGAGCCCTCTTGAGGCAGGAATGCTGTCTGGTGGGGTGAGCTGCCTGGTAAGGTAATACTCCGTTCGCCTGAGCTGTCTGGTAGGTCTGGTCGGGCTAGCTGCCTGAGGGTGAGTTGTCTGGCAGGATGGGCTGTCTGACGGGGCAGCTAAGCTGTCCGGTAGGCATGGCAGGGCGAACTGCCTGAGGGCGAGCTGTCTGGCAGGGTGGGCCGTCTGCCGGGGCAACTCGGCGCCTCCTGTGTCTGGTAAGGCCGGCCGATGACGACGATCATTCGTTCTGCCTGGCGCTGGCGGCCCCCCCGTGAGGGGGCGCTGAAAGTCCGCTGGAACTGCGCTGCCCTCGGGCGCCAGCCCGCTGGGCGACCTCGACGATGACGGGGCCCCAGAACTGAGCGTCCTCATCCCGGCGCGCCGGCCGCGCCGTCTCGAGCCCTGGCGTGTCTGAGTCGGGGTCGCGCGCCTCGCGCTCGCCCGCGACCTCCTGAGTCGCCCGCGCCGCCCCGTTCGGCCTGAGAGGCCCAGCTCCGCGCCTCAGCCGCCGCGGCCTGCAGCGCCTCGACCCTGCCCCTGAAGGCGCGCGCGTCCAAATCGACGTCGACGGCCGTGGCCCGAGCGCGCTCTCGCGCCTTGAAGGCCGCGAGCTGCTCGCCGAGCTCGCCGATGCGGACCTGGAGCCCGCGCAGCTCCAGCTGAGAGGGCCCCCACCCGCGGGGGCGCGAGCGTTCGGGCCCCTGCTTCTCCCGCGGCATCTGGCGCGGGGCGAGGCTGCGAGACGGACTGACTTGCGCGCGGGCTGCGGGCCCTGGAATCACTTCCAACATAATGAACTGACTGGACTGCGAGCCTGCTTGAGCCCGGTTGACTTGGACCACCGTGGGTACGGATTCATTGGGGACAGTCTGGTAGGGTGAGCTGCCTGGTAATGCGTCTGACCTGAACTGTCTGGCAAGGTGGGCTGCTGCGTAAGGTCATACCTCGTTCACCTGAGCTGTCTGGTAGGTCTGGTAGGATGATCTGCCTCAGGATGAGCTGTCTGGCGTGGTGGGTCGATTCGGCCTGGTAGGTCTCGTGGGTCTGGTAGGGCGGTGGTCAGGTAGAGTGACCTGAGCAGTCTGGTAAGAACTATTATGGACTCCTTTTGGGGGTCCTAATGGGTCCCTGGGAATTCCGAGGGAGTCCTTTCGAATCCAGTTCGCCGCTACGCGGGCGCAATCGGGGCACCAGAATGATGAGCTAGATTATTGTTCTCCGTTCTGGCGACCTTTCGGGGGCGCCAGAATCTCGGAGCTAGATTCTAGCGCGCCGTTCTGGGGGCGCGCAGACGGCGAGCTAGACTGCCATTCGCCGTTCTGTGGGCGCCATGGGGGCAGCAAGTAGACGAGCTGGATTCTGGCTCGCCGTTCTGGCGGCCTTTCGGGGGCACCAGAATGACGAACTAGATTCTAGCGCGTCGTTCCGAGGGCGCGCAGACGGCGAGCTAACGTGAATGGAAAGCTGTCTGGTAGAGCGAGCTGCCTGGTAGTGCACCTGAGATGTCTGGCATGGCGGGCTGCCGCGCAAGGTCATGCCTCGTTAGTTTGAACTGTCTGATAGGTCTGGTAGGGCAAGCTGCCTCTGTGTGAGCTGTCTGGTCAGGTAGGTCTGGTAGGTCTGGTAGGTCTTGCCGGGTGCTGGTAAGCTTTCCCTGACGGCCTGCTCCGACGAATGCATAATCTGATCCGAAATCCCCTGTCCTGATGGCAACCCCGCAGACTGGGTCTGATCAGGCAGCTAAGTTAATTAACGCGGCCAGGTGCGGTCCAGTTCCGCGCGCCAGACCTGAACGTTCGTCTCTCGATGGCGCTTGGTATCCCGCGCTGATGGGTAAGGCGTCGTAGGGCGAGGCTCCCCTGAAGCCGCGATGATGCAGAGCTGATTCGTCCGCTCGCCCGCGCTCGCGCCCTCTGTCCTGCGCTCGAACCGCCTCATCCAATCCTCCTCTGCGTGCGGGGCCTCAATCTCTCTGTGCTCCGCAGGCTCATGGCAGGCATGGGCAGGTGCCTGAGCTCCCCGTCCTCGTCTCCTGCGTCGCGGAAGCGACTCCTGTGTCGACTCCTGTGTCGTGGAGACGACTCCTGAGGCGCACGGTGCTGACATTGGTTATCTAAAAAGCTCGCTGAAGGCCACCATCCTGAACTCCTCGACGTCCGTCTGGAACCACGGGCGCTGGACCTTTTTCGGAAGCATCTCTGCCGGACCCCTGCCAGGGGGAGCCATTGCGGAGCGGAAGCCTCGGTTAAAAACTGAGCGCTCCTGAGCCCTCTTGAGCCAGAACGGTTACGGAGGCGGAGGAAGGAAAGCTGTCTGGCCCAAGGATGGGGCCAAAAGGGCAACCTGAGGAGGCCCGAAAAGTCCAGGGGGGAGACGGCCGAGGGCCCGAGGAGGGAACCACCTCGTCCTAGCTCTTGCTCGCCCTCAGCACCCTGGCCTTCAGCCCCCTAGGCCCACCCTCAGCCCCATTTGGCTCACCCTCAGGGTGCCGGAATGACGCATCCAGGGGGCCGAAGGCGTTATCGTTTTGCTGGAAGGGGGGGTTCTTAACGACCAGTCAGACTTAAGAGGCCTAGATTACTGCAACAGTATGACTGCAGTGGTCGTGGCTCTTCGTGATGCCCCGTTCCTCTGGTGGCCCCTCCCTCTGCTCCAGCGCGATGCCGATCCGGTGCAGCAGCGACCACACGAACCACTCGTGCCCCTGGAGCAGCGTGGCGCCCGTCGCGAGCAGCAGGCCCTCGGCCCAGTCCAGGAGCTGCTCCAAGTCCTCGAGGCCACCTCCCCAGGCCCCCGACGGCGTGTTCTCGTCATAGCGTCGACCCCCAGAGGCCGCGACCACTTCCCCGGGGCCAGTTTTTCGCCCCGAGTCGTGCTTTGACGGCCCCGAGGCCCGTGGAGGGCCCGCGA